GGAATCCAATGGGATGTCCTCTGTGAGCGGAGGACGGGGAGGACAACCATTAGCAACAGAAAACATATCACATTAGCCTGGCGAAGTTCCCAACCACATGCAGCTGTGAGGTCCGTATCGATGTGTAACGTCTTCGGTACATCTCCCGATAGGGCGACGAAACATATGAAAGATGAGCCGACGCGGGGATGCAATTGCATGCGAGCCCTGCAATTGGGGCCTTCGGTGGAGCCCCTTATAGGGCCACTGACCGTGTGGGGTGCGCCGAAGTTGGGTGTGGAACTGCTTGCGCACTTTCCCTCTGTGGCCTGCGGGGGGGGCTTCATATGGAGCCACAAACCGTGTGAGTGGTGCGACGAAATGGGAGGTGAAGTTGCATGCGAATTTTCCCACTAGGACCTTTGGTGGAACTCCCTACGGGGCCACGAACCGCGTGAGGGGTGCGCCGAAATGGGGTGGAACGGCACGCGAACTTTCCCACTGGGGCCTTCGGTGGATTTCCTTACGGGGCCACGAACCGTGAGGGGTGCGCGGAAATAGGGTGAAACAGCATGCGAATTTTCCTATTGGGGCGTTCGGTGGAGCTCCCTATGAGACCACGAACCGTGTGAGGGGTGCGCCAACATGGGGGTTGGACCTACATGCGAATTTTCCCATTGGCGCCTTCGGTGTAGCTCCCTGCGGGGCCGCGAATCGCGCGAGGGGTGCGACGAAATCGGGTGTGGAACTGCATGCACACCTTTCCATTGGAACCTTCGGTGGAGCTCCCTACGGGGCCACGAACCGCGTAAGGGGTGCGCCAACATGGGGGGTGGAATTGCATACTTTCCCACTGGGCCACGAACCGTGTGATGGGTGCGACGGAATGGAGGTGGAATTGCATGCGAACTTTCCCTCTGGTGCCTTATGTGTAGCGCCCAGCGGGGCCACGAACCGTATGAGGGGTGCGCCGACATGTGAGGTGGAACTGCATGCGAACTTTCCCACTGGGGCCTTCGGTGGAACTCCCTATGGGGCCACGAACCGCGTGAGGGGTGCGCCGAAATGAGGGGTGACATTGCATGCACACTTTCCCACTAGTGCCTTCGGTGGAGCTCCCTACAGGGCCGCGAACCGTGTGAGGGGTGCGCCAACATTGGGGGTGGAATTGCATGCGAACTTTCCCATTGACGCCTTCGGTGTAGCCAGCCCCCTACGGGGCCACAAGCCGCGCGACGTGTGCGACGAACTGGCGTGGAACTGCATACAAATTGTCCCATTGGAGCCTTCGGTGGAGCTCTTTTTGCTGGTATGGGGCCACGCAATGCGTGAGGGGCGCAAGGGGTGGGAGCAGCGGGGGAGGGGGAGGAGGGAGGGGGGCAGCGGGAGGAGGGACGGGGCGTTGTCTTTTTCAACCGAGGACCCAACACCACAGGATGGTTGGGGACAGAACAACACACAAACACGATGTCGGCAGCATTGTTGCGATGTTCCAATGAGAGTTGCCCGAACTCATGCTGTTCCCAGCCCTCCCTTGGTTGGGTTCTCGTTTTGAATGTGGGGATGCCGTCGCCCTTCTCCTTCTGCGCCCGCCCTCTGTCCCCTTCTCGATCGCCTGCTGGGGGGGGCAGCATAGTGGAGCCCCACGCTGACCGAAACAGGACCTCGCCATCCTTGGGGGGGGGACGTGTGACGCTGTCTCCACTTTAGAGGGATGCTTGGGGGGGGGGGACCGTGGGTTCCCACGCAGACCCAAACAGGACCTCGCTGTCCTTGGGTGGCTGCGCAGTGTGGCGCTGTCGGCTCCGTGCCACGGTGCGTCGGGTTCTTGTGGGGCATCATTTGGACAGCGTATCTGTGTGATTTTGATGCACGCGTCGGGCGCGATTCTCCAAGAAGACGTCACGACATAACCACAACGTGTAGGTGTCGCAGTTTCTCGCGGATCCGCGCTAGGGCCCTGTTCGGGGCGCCTCCAGCGCCGCCCTTGGCGCGATTTGTGCGCCAGGGAGGGGAGTCTGGCGCAGATCCAAGACATCCACTCGGAGCTCCCAATATTCATGCAGGTGCGATTTTTGTTAGATTCATCCAGAAGCGTGGGAGGGCAGAACAAAAGGTATAATTGCCAGCCGTTCAAGCATATCAGGGAGCGGGGATCGGATTTGGATGCGGTCGGGGTTGCGTACCGCCGTGCGGGAGGGCGAGGACGACACCACTGAGCCAATGAGCAGGGCTTGGGGCCAGGAGCAGGTGAGGGAGTATTGATAGAACGTTTTGGCCAGAATTCTGTAATTACCAGGGGCTGGAGTCGAAGGGTTGGAGGTGGGAGGATGTATTCTCAAGGGCTTCGCCTTCTGCCGCAGGCCCCCTCTCTATGAGACTTGGACTTGCCAGAGCTATGTTGGGATGCATGGACGCCGACTTGAAGCAATGACAATACTGGAACCTAATGCGAGGACGGCGGGCAACCGTGACGTTATTTACCAGAAATCGTGTCCTCGGAGGCTCGAGTCTGGGGTGATTTGCGAGAGGTGAGCGTCACGTCGGGGGCGCGAACCTAGCGTACTTTACGCGGATTCTGGTTTTGGGTGCGCGAATATGGTGTAATTTGCGTGGGATCGTGATCGTCGCCTCGGGGGCGCGAGTTCTTTGTAAGTTGCGAGGACTGCTTTTGTGGTGGCGCGAATCTGAGATGTACTGTAGCGGATTGTGGTTAATGGGGCGGGATTCTCATTTGATTTGCCAGGAATCGTGGTTTCGGGGTGCGAAGCGCAATTTGCAAAGCATCGTGATTTCGGGAGTAATTTGCACAACGGATCGTCATCCACAAAGGATCGTGACCTCAGGGGCCCAGATCTTTTGAATCGACTCTGCATCGCAAGTTCGGGGGCGCGAATCCTGTGCAATTTTCCGCGGATCGTGGCCGCGTGTTCGCGAATCTGGTAACATTTACAAAAGGACCGTTGCTTCGGGGCCGCGAATCTGGAGCAATACTGATTATGGCCTTGGGGACGAGGCTCCTGGTCCCAGGGCTTCTAAGGAAATTCTGACACTTTGAGAGGCTACGGTAACCAGGGTGTTTTGTGCCTCCCTCTCGTGCGAACAGTACCATGTTTGATTCTATATTGAGCAAGAAGTAGGACTTTATAATTTTGGAGACTGGAATCTGGAAGCTGCACTGGAACTGTGACTGGGACCGAGGAGCTCAGAACTGGCACCTACGTTGATGAAACCGGATCTTCGCAACCTGGTGACCTCGCAAGGGGGCCGGTGGACTTTGCCGCTCCGAACTTGCTCATCGTCCTTGGTAGCAGAAGGAAGGCACCCGCACATTGTGCATTTTTGGGGAAGGGTTTGGGAGGAAAGATGACCACATCGATGTGCTGCTTTTGCGATTTTCCAAGGATGGCAGGCACAGTCTGATTACGTTTGCCTGTCGGTTGTTTTGTTTATAGGGGTCCCTTGGCTTCGTTGGGTTGTGACCTGCTGTGAGCGCGCCGAGGCCTTTCAGCGGACGGGAGAAGCCGCAAAGCAGACTTGGCGGGACGGGCTTGGGGAGGACGGCCAGCATTGCCAGCATGCTCGGAAGCGTGACTTGTGGGAGAGCGCACCGGCACTGTCATGTGCTGCGGATGCTTTCCTTCTCCTCCTCCTCCTCCTCCTTCTTCTCCTGCTCCTCCTCCTCCTCCTCCTCCTCCTCCTCCTCCTCCTCCCCCTTCCCATCCTTTCCTCCTCCTGCTCCGATTTTGTCCCAGAGAGCCCATACACCGATAAGCCGGTAAGCAACCAACAGGTTCGAGAGCCGCGCCCCTGCTGCAGAGACCAAGCCTGGTTGGCTCCAACCGAGAAGAGTCCGCACAAGCGTCGACGGAAAGAAGGGATGAAGCCACGGGTGTAATCAAGCAGCAGTGTTCCCAGATTGAGGGGAGTTTGGGGACGATCCGCAGAAGGCATCCATGCACTCAGCCTGGCCAGGGCCATTCTGGGCCCCCGGGCGGTGTATCCCGCTGCCGATGGCAAGTTTCACCGCTTTGCCAGCGCAGCATTCTGTGTGGCGACGCTTCGAGCGAGCAACGCCTAGAGGGCCGAAACATGTGTCACCATTCGTCTTTTGTCATTCAGGGGCTCGCATGGGGCCTAGTTGCCTGGGCCGTCTTGGGGCCGCCTGAGGCTCATGTGGAGCCGTCTCGGGGCCCTCTTGTGACCCTCTTGGACTGTCTTGGGGTTCTCTTGGGCCGTCTTGGCCCTCTCTCGGCCGCCTGGGCGGTCACCTGGAGCTGTCTTGGAAGCCTCTTACACAATCTTGGGGGCCCTCCCGAGCTGCCCTGGAGTCCTCGTGGGCTGGTGTGGGTCCCTCTTCTTGCTGTCCTTAGCCGTCTGGGGGGCTTCAGACGGCCCTCATCGATTAGTCAAGAGGCGTACAGTTGAGACCTGTGCCAAGAAACACCCTGCTTGCCTCCATGGTGCCCTGGGTTTCTTGGGTTTCGGTGGTTTTGCCATGGAAAGCGCGACGTTTCCACACTTCCACACCAAATTTCAATGGGCGTCCTGGGGTCTCAGGGTTGGGTTTCTTGTGGAAGGTTTCTTGTGGTCGAGCTCCTACTGTGTGCCATTCAGCCGACCACCATCACAGTGAATTCGTCAAGAGTGGTGTCTCCGTGCCTGGCCTGTGGGTCAGGAGCTTCGGGGATGCTCGGGGGGGTCTCCTGGAATGCCTCTCAGGGACCTCTTGGAGAGCTCTTGGGAAGCTGGTAAGCTGTTGGAGGCCTCTCGGGGGCCTCTTGGAAGGCCCTCTGGGCCTCTTTGGGGTCTCCTGGAATGCCTCTCAGGGGGCCTCCTGGAGAGCTCCTGGGGGGCATCTGATAAGCTGTTGGAGGCCTCTCGGGGGCCTCTTGGAAGGCCCTCGGGGCCTCTTTGGGGCGCCTCCTGGGTCACTGGTGTGCTCTTGGGGCCACCACGGCCAGAAAGACTCGGTTATGTCGGTTACTATTGCCCCGCTTGGGCCGTTTTGGGGCCTTTTTTTGGCTCTCTTAAGGCTCTATTGGCCCGTCTTGGGGCCCTGATGGGCCGTCTTCGGACCATCTTGGGGGCTCCTTGGGCCGGGACACCGTCAAGACGAAACAGGCGTGCATGTCGAAATTGTAAGTCCCCCCAAGGAGATAAAATGGTTTTTGCGTCTTGAAGACATCTTGGACCGTCGCGGGGTTCCCCTTGGCCGTCTCGACGCTCTCTTAGATTGTCTCGACGCTCGTAACGCGTTTTCAGGGCCTTCCAAGGTGCATTCTGAACTGCGACACCTCTTTCCACGAGCTGCCTAATTAACTCTGAGACTGGATTGCATTCTACCCACTTGTGACCGCTCCCGATCAGTGACGATCTTCCACGATCGACTGGCCCTGGCGGAGCCAGCCTTGGCAGGTAGACCCCGCCCTGCTCGGTCAGCTCCGCCATCATCAGGTCAAATTGCGTGTCCCGATGGAACGTCATGAAGACCGTGCCCTTCTGCGAGTTGCCCTCCCGCTTGCGAAAGATCTTCGGACGAAAATGCGAGCACGCCCTCGCCACCCTCGTCATCTCGCTCTTCGCGATGACCCCCCACAGCTCCACCATCTGTTTCTTGAGCGTCTCCTCCGCCACGTTCTTGTCCCCCGCCGACGGCGTGACCGTCGTTCCGTATTGCGCTGTGGATCAAGAGGAGGAGGAGGAGGATGAGGAAGGAAGGGTAAGGAAAGAAGTAGGCAGCGAGTTGCAAAGGGGGGCGACCGCACAAGCTGGGGAGGCATATGTTTTGCGACACCAACCTCGGGGGCATGTACGACCCCTCCCGCCACGACGCCGCCACCCTGCAGGAGCGCCCGCACCCCCTGCCGCCTCCCCGGGCGCCCACCGCCGCTCTCGCCAGTGCCCGGCACGGTTTTCCGCTTCCAGTGTGCCTCCCCCGCCCCCGTTCGTTTTTGGAGGTCTCTGGGGGCCTTCAAGGTCTCGGGACCTTAGAAGAGCGACTCGGGACGAAAAGATGGTCCCTGGGAAGGGGTCCAGGCCCTGGGGGCCCACGTGATAGAACAAAAGTCGTGACGTCGGAAATCGATGCCCACACCCATCCGCCCATCTTCGCCTCCACCTGTCCCCCCCCTCCACTCCCCTCGAGGATCCCCGAGCGCCCTCGGCCTTCCCCCTCCTCGCTGTCTCTCGACCGCCCTCGGGCCTCCCTCGGGCCGCTCTGGGGCTGCCGGAGGCCGCCGGAGGCCGCCTGCGGGCCGCCGTTCGGGCCACCTGCAGACCGCCCAGTCGCCGCCTCTCGGCCGCCGAATCCCCCCGTGACACCGTGACTCGGGGGATGAAAATTTGAAGTCCCGAAACGGTGCGGTGACAGACCGTGCGGTGACCTCGAAATCCCCTAAGACCTCACCGCACGGTCCGTCACCGCACGGTCGTGGGACCCTGGAGCCCCCTGTCGCCCGAGACATCCTCGGAGAACGACCCGAGTTCCAAAACCGTGCGGTGACCCCGAATCCCCACCGACTCACCGCACGGTGTGGTCACCACCCCGTTTGGGGGCCCCCGAGAAAAGGTGCCCTGGGTTTCCTGGGTGGCCCCCGTCGCCACCGCTGGATTCGCCTCGAGATCCTGGTCCGAGCGCACCCCGGGAGGGTTCTGGGAAGCAGCGGTATCGGTATCTCTTGGTTTCCCCAGTGGCGCCCCGCGACGCCCCGTGGCGCCGTGATGCCCCGTGGCTCGTGCATCCTCTGCTTCACGGTAGTGCTCTCCGCTCTTGCTGCGTCGCCGAACAGGGGAGCGTGTTGTTCCGCCCGCGCGTCAAGGGACGTATGGCTTCTTGAGACTTGAGGCCGCCGAGCCAACGGCTTCGTGGCCGCCAGAGGCCGCCGGAGGCCGCCCTGCTGGCCTTGGTCGTGCCCCTCGGCGTCCTGGGTGTGGGGTCGGCGTCTTGTTGGGGAACCACCGCGAGGAGGAAGCACCCCGAGAGAACGCCCAGGGTCTGAGACGCCACTCCCCTCCCTCTCTCCCCAATCCCACTCTCCCTCGTTCACTCCTCCTCCCCCTCCCACCCCCAGTATCCCCCCTTCCCCCTCCCTCCCTCTGGGCGTACCCAGACAACTCGCAAACATCAGTGTCCCTGGCCTTCCTCGTGAGGTACGCTGTTCGGGCCTTGCCTGATAAGGGGGGCTGCAGGCATGACCCGCGATAGTTACCACGGAAAGGCCCGATTAGTGTGATGTTGCGATGGTCGGTCCGCGAGAGTGTCCGTGACTAGTGTCCTTCATCATTGGCGTTACTTTCTCCAGAGAGCATGCCAGTGGCTCTCGACAGTGGTTATGAGAGAAGTCCTTCCCATAGGAAGGATTAAAAAGGAAGAGCTTATACAATCCACACAACGAACGGCCCGCCACGCACTTGGCCCCCTTCAGCTCAGCTCATTAGTCGAGTAGGGGATCGACTACATAATAGATTTACCCCAACATTGTTGTTCTCGCCGAAGTTACGGAACATACGTACAATGCTCGTAGATCTACGGGACATTCTACGTATTTCTTCGCAGATACAGAGGAACACTTCAATTCGGGGGTAGATCAATTCTGTAGTCGATCCCATACTCGAATCAGAGGTCCTCTGCCCCCCCCGCTCCTCTCGGACGACGGAGCAGGCCAGTGCCGCACCCCATAGGGGGCCCGGCACGGGCGAGCCACGGGGAGCCCTTAGGTGGCAGGCCAAAGCCGATGAGAGCAGATCGCAGTAAACGTTTGAGGGCAGTCGGGGCCCCCAAATCGAGTCCCCTCCCCCCATCCCCGTCCCCCTCCTCATTTCCTCCTCCTCCTTCGTCTCCTCCTCTAGGCACTCTGAAGCAAACCTGTCTTCCCGAGCGGAGAGCCGAAAAGGCTCCTCGCAGGCACAATCATGTTGTTCCACCCTGTTCGCGCGCCCTCTGGCACAAGGCTTCTGACCTTACCTGAACGGACCCGCCCCTATCGAAATACGTCGATCGTGCTACTTCCATCAACGGAGTAGTGACAACACAGAGCCCCCTCCCTTTGGAAACCGTTTCCCCTCCATCGATTGAGCGGGTGCCGCCCTTGGGCTGGAGGCGAGCCCGCTTCCACGCCTGTGCAGCGATGTCAGGCTTCTCGCTGGCAATTCTCTAATGCTCTTGCGGGCCCGCCGCTCTGGCCCGGCAGCCCGTGGTTCCGCCGCATCCGCTTACGGCGTGGCCTCGGTGTTCACCGCTGGTTCCACCTCTCAGCGTGCCGAGGTGCCCCCCCTCGTTCCGCTGGCGCGGACTGACCCGTCCCTCCCCGACCTTCCGGGCTTTGCCCGACCTCAGCCCTCGCTCTCCAGCCCGAAGGGTATGTCGAATCTCGTGCTGTTCATCATCGATGTTGCGCTGGGCCCTTGCATTGGTCCCTTCCCCCTAGCACGCACGCCACCCCCCAAAATGTCACCCTTGCCCGCCCCGCCCCGCGCCCCGCCTCCGCCCAGCTCACACCCAACTCCAGACCTCGGCGGTGCACGGAGAGTTTCTCCCACACTCCGCTGGGCTTCCGCCGCCACCAGGCTCCATTCAGCTCCACGCCCCACGGCCTATGGCTCCACTCCGCTCCACGCTCCACTCCGCTCCACCCCGCCCCGCGCTCCACTCTGCTCCGCCCCACCGACGAGCCGTCCTTCTGCCCAGCAGCCCCGCTCCTCGCTCCGCCCCTCCTGCCTTGATGCCTCTGCTGGCGCGCGCGCGCGGCCAGACCCTCCCGAGGCCCAGCTCTGCCCAGCACCCTCTCTGCTCGGCCAGCTTTCGCACTCCGCGCTCCGTGTACGCCCTCCTGGCTCCGCCCTCGGGCATCGGCCTCCGCCGCCGCCCGCCCACCCTCGCCTTGTACGATCTCCGGCTCCTCCGACCTGGGGCCTCGTCCTGCACTCGCCCGCCCTCACCCTCGACGGCGACCTCAGGCTCAGCCTCAGCCTCTCGCACTCGCCCCGTTCGCTCAGCCTCGCCACTTCACGCGGAGGCAAGTCGGGCATCGGCGGTGGTGCGAGCCTGACGTCGAGGGCGGCGCGCTCAGTGACAGCAGAGAGGCGGGGGACGAAGACGGAACGTGGCCGCCTCCGTCCAGGCCGGTCCGCAGCGCGCGGCGAGGGGAGCTGGGCATCCGATCACAGATGGCATCGGGTGCCCTGGGCCGTCTCTTTGGTGTTTGCTCTGGACTTCTGTCTTGCGCTCTGCCGTTTGTCCTGAGCGCAACGTGGCATTGAAATTGATGGGCGGATGTATGGCTCGTTGCAGGGAGCGGGGCGGTTGTGAGGAAGCTGGCCGTTGGTCGGGCACACGAAGGTGCTGATTCTTAGGCTTACGCCACACCGCCGACCCCTTGTTTATGCCAATCTGGGGGTAGTAGATGCTGCGAAGGGGTGAAAAGCGAGTTTTGGAGCCACTTGGGGGCCGTTTCGGAGCCTCTGGGGTGCTTCTTGGGGGGTCCTTGGGGCGTCTGGGCGGCCTCGTGAGGGCCTCTGGGGGCCTCTTGGGGCACTCTTGGGGCCCCCTGGGGCTCCTGGGGGCAGAAAGCTAGAGTTTCAACATGTTTGGTCGCCCTCTTGGGCCCCTGTTGGTGCCGTCTTGGAGCCCTCTTGGGCCGTCTTGGGGACATCTTGGGCCGTGTTGGGGCCGTCTTGGGCCGTCTGGAGGCCGTCTTGGGGGCCTCTTGGGCCATCTTGGGGCTTTCTTGGGGGCCTCTTTGGCCGTCTTGGAGCGTCGGGAAGCCGAAAAGGCGGAAAAGCAAAAAACATAGAAAAACACTATGGAAAATCAACAATTTTAGACTCTTGGGGTCCTCTTGGGAGGCTTGTTTGGGACCTCGGAGGCCGTCTTGGAGACCTCTTGGCCCGTCTTGGGGCCATCGTGGGCGTCTTGGACCGTCGTTTGGCGTCTCGGAGCCTTCGTGGGCCGTCTTGGAGGCCTCTTGGGGGCTTCTTGGCCCGTCTTGAGGCCCTCTTGGGCTCGGAAAAGCCCCGTGAACCGCTCGTCCCGGACCCCCCCCGCTCGCGCTCGACCCCCCCCCCCCCTCCAAATCGACCGGACCGGGCTCCCGGGGGAGGGGTTTGGGGAGGGGGAAGCATCTCACACGCCGATGATCCCCAAGGGGTCGGCGGATTTTGACAGGCGTCGAGCCCAGAACGAGAAGCAACCCCGCTGGGTCGGGCTCCAGCACCATACGGTGTGTCTTCCTCCTACACCGTGGACGCATCTCCCGCTTCCATGGGATAGATGGGGTAGGGCAGACATTTGAAGCTCTCCTGGGGCTCGCGTTGGACCCTCTTGTGGGAGTATTGGACGCCATCGATCAAGAATGTTTGAGGGCTTACTTCCCTTTGCCCTGTCGGAGTCTGAAATCTCGTCTCTCGGGGTGTTCGTGGGCGCTGTTGGGCTCATCTTGGAGCCTTGGTGGCCCCCTCGTGGGGCTCTCTTAGGTGATCTTGGCGCCATCCTGAGGCCTCAGAAGTCCATCGGAAGCGAAATGGCGAGAAGTCACCGAACATTTGAAAACCGTATGGTTTGAAGGAATCATTGACCACTTGTAGCCGTCTGGGGGCAGTCTTGGAGCCTCTTGGAGACATGCTGGGTGATATCCAATGGCCTTCGACCCATCCTGAAGAGCCCAAAAGTGACGACACTTACAGCATTTGGATGACCCGCTCGGATTGCCAACATGACACGCTTGCGCCATAAAGAGGGGGCTCCCGCCTGAGCCTTTCTCGCGAATGACTCACAGACGAGGCTCCCGTCTGAGACTTCCCCGATGTTCAGGCCTGAGGAGCCCACCAGTGACGATATTCCGCAGGCCGAAAGATTTCCCTCTTGAGCCCCACATGTCGGAAGCGACGCGCCGTTCAGGTGAGCGGATACATGTAGCGCTCGCTTCGAGGTGGGGTAGATGTGTTATGGGTGAAGATGCGGGAGTTGGCCGGGGCCGCTGTGGCGTTCGAGCAAACTTATGTTATGGGGGGACTTTCGGGAGATGGCCAGGCCCGCGGCGGCGCTCGAGCAACCACATGTTATGGGAGAAGTGAAGGGAGGTGGCCGGGCCCGCTGTGGCGCTCGAGCATCCGACTTGGACACTTTGCTTGTGTGTCTTCGCCCTCCCTCATCCCTTCCTTTCCCCCTCCTCCTCCCACTTCCCCCCTCCTCCTCCAGCCTCCTCCCTCCTCCTCCTTCCTCCTTCGTCCGTCCGCCTCCCTCCTCTCCCCTCCCTCCTCCCTCATCCCCCTTCTCCTCCTCCTCCTCTTCCTTCCTCCTCTTCCTTCCTCCTCCCCCCCTCTCTTCCCTGATTGTTCCCCCTCCCCCCCCATGCGTCCCCTCTGTTCTCCTCCCACCTCCTCTTGCCTTTTTCCCTCATCCTTCCCCTCGTCATTCTGGGAGGACCCCCCCTCCCCCGTAGAATCATAGCATGGTTCTTCAGATCCATAGCTCCGTGGATACTGGGGATGTAGCATGATGCTTCACTTGCGGTGCTCCGCGGATCCAATTTCCCCTGGGTCCTTGATGTTAATCATTATTATATATTTATCCCCGGGAAATACATGGATCCACCGTTGTTTCACACACAGGAAATTGGATCCGCGCAACACAGAAATAGGATCCACGAAATTCTCCCACACCCGATGAAAAAAAAAATCCAATTGGATCCGTCTATGTTTTCATATTTTTCGTCCAAGAGGAAAAAACTTTCGGCCTGGGGATGTAGTTACAATATTTGGATGACCCGCTCGGATTCGAAGATGAAGTGCGGGCCCCATAGGGAGGGGGCTCCCGCCTGAGACTCCCCGCGATTTACTCACTGACGAAACTCTCTTTTGGTCAATGATCATGCTGGGATGGTGAGAGTGATATGTATGTGATGATGGTGATGGTGATGGTGAGCGATGATGGGCTGATGATGGTGATGCTGATTGATGCGGATGCTAATGACGATTATGTTGGCCGGTGGCGATGATGAAGATGAAGATGAAGATGATGATGATGATGGTGATTTTGATGGTGATGGTGATGGTGTGGTGATGTTAACTAATGCTGCATGGTGAGGATTATGATGGCGATGGTGTTGGATGGTGGCGATGATGCTGGTGATGATGATGGTCATGGTGATGGTGATGATGGTGATGAGTGTGCGAGCGAACGTGAGTGATGACGACGATGAAGAGAGTGATGGTGGTGGGAAGGAGAGGGTGTGGGATGATGACGTGGTTCATGGCGTCAGCACGATTACGGACGATGCCACGATTGCGGACGAGTGGGTGATGAGCCAATGTGCTTGCGTGATTGAGAGTGGTCGTGAGTGGTTGATGATGAACATTGCCAATGACCATGATGGGATCATGGCATGATAATGAATGAGTGGGTGATGGGTGAATGTGCGAGAGGGTGAGCGGGTGATCATGAGGACCAGTGATCATGATGGCATGGTGATGACAGGAGAGGAGGGGGTGAGGTGTGAGGTTTGGTTCTTGCGCGGAGGTGTGCGGAGAAAACAAAAAAAACCATTTAGGATGTGGGGAAATAGTGAGAGAACACACGTTCCACACATGTCGCATCCACGGTATGTCGGGGCGGCACCGTCGCCAAGTATCGGTTTGCGGCAATCAAGATTTTGACAGCATTAGCCGTACTCGACTTTCAGCGGAGGCATAGCTCGCCATCACATATGGACATAGATTGGGACGGAATGCGCGAGGTGTGCGACTCTCGCGGGGTGCGCAAGGTGCCCCAGGGGCCCACGCGTGCTAGGTGCCCCACATGCGCCAAGTGCGGCACCTGACGCGCACAGAGTATGCCAGGTGCGCCAGTGCACGTGGCAGAACACATCGGTCAGCATGGCGATGCTCAGGCAACCCGTGCCGAACGCAATCGCAGCGTGGGGGAGGGACCTCAATGAGAGTACATTGGTTTTTCCCACGTGTAGCGCGGCAGCGCGCCGTGGAAGAATACATTATCCCAACAACTTGTCAACCATCCATTCAACATCCTCGCGCTGATCCCGCTCTCGGTCCATGCCTTCGACCACGTGCACTATCCTGGTTCATGCCCAGCAGCTGTTAATGTGTTATTTGCCTTCGGAGGCACTTCTCGTCGTCAGGGCTGGATGCAGCTCGCACATCTGGCCAGGACGGATCTGGGAGGGGCCCGTGGACTCGTTTGTTGGAGCTGGTTTTGGTGGGGGGGCGGGGCAGCCGCGCGCGTGCTCCGAGGGGTCGTCGGTGGTACACGGGGTATGTTTTTGAGATGCGCACGGCAGTTGCTTCAAGGAAGAAGCGTGGGAATTCCGAGGCGGGGATTTTTCCATGACCACCACTTTGGTGATCGATCTTCCGGATCGTCAGCATAGGCGGTTGGCCAAACGTGTCAATATCCATTCGGCGGCCAGCGAAGGGGGAAGTGAGAGAAGGATAATGTTTTCTCAGAAGTCACGGAATTCCCCGGGCTTTCTGAGAAGTTTCGAAGCATTCCCGAAGACACGGAAAACAAATAGAAGGCGCGAGGGCTTCTGAGAAGCCATGCCGCCTTCTGAGAAGCCTCGGGGGGGCGGCCCTCTTCTGGCCGCGAGGCTCCTCGGTGCACCTCGAGGCTCGAGGCTCCTCGAGGCTTCCGGATGCTCCTCGAGGCTCCTCGAGGCTCCTCCAGGCTCTTCGAGGGTCCTCGAGGCTCCTCGAGGCTCCTCGAGGCCTCTGGTAAGTCCTCCTCGTTTCTCCCCCAGTCGCTCGCCGCTGCTCCACCGCCTGCCGAAGCCACTGAGCATCGATCACCCGGGCGGTGGCTGCGGATACGTCCCCGCCCCGCAGAGCTTCGGCTTTCGCCCCTGACGGACGAGCCACGACATGCGGCGGCGAGCGAGGGGGGGAAGCGAGGAGAGGGCGATCGTTCGGCGATGCGGGGCCCACTCGGGCCATCTGGGGAGGTCATCTGTGCGGGCCTCTCGGGGCCGTCCTGTCCTGTCGTGGTACCCTCCTTGGGGCCGAAAAAGTTGCGCGACGGGACGCGGCAAACCCCGGGAGGCACGCCAGGAAGCCCAGTGGGCACCCCAGGAGCTCCAAGGTCGGCGGCGGGCGAGGGGAGGAAATGAGAAGGAGAAGGTCTTTTCAGAAGGCGGCGTGACTTCTCAGAAGCCCTCGTGCCCTCTCAGAAGTTTTCTGTGTCTTCGGGGAAGGCTTAGAACATTTCTCAGAAGGCCAGGGGATTTCCGTGACTTCTGAGAAGGCAGGCGTATTATCTGTCTCAATTCCCCCCCTCGCTCGTCGCCGAAATTTGCTGCAGTCGGTGTTGGAGGGCGTAGGAAGACGAGGGCGGAGCTGCGCAGGGAATCAGATGGAGAGGCGTTCACGGACGGGTGCCCGCGTTTCTTTCGTTATGATTTGTCATGTCTTTGTTGTCGTGCATCGCTTTTCAACCTCGCTCTCGACTGGCTCGAGCTGGTGAAGAGGGACCGGAGGGGAGCAGGGGGCAAGGAGGATGAGGAGGACGACGACGAGGCATAGAAAACAGGGAGAGGGGACAATACTCAATTCGAAGGCGTGGGGAGGGCGACAGCGATTCCTTTCTCGACTTTCTTAATGATGATGTTACCGCTTTTGGCGTTGCGACCGCCTTGACTTCCTGGGGAGGGCAGCAAGGGTGTCCGCGACTCCGTTTAGTCGGTTGCGTCACAGTCGGTTGTATTTGGTCGGTTTGGATCCGGTCGATTGTTGCGCGGTTGCGATCTTCCAGGTTGCGTTTGGCGTACATGCACACGTACGCAGCACAGCTGGCCTGCGCCCAGTGGCACGGGTGGAGTGCACGGCGACGTTTTCCTTCTGCGTGCCCGGCCGTGGTTGCCGCCCTATGGCACTTGTGCACGCCAGATGTTCATTGACAACAACGGCATCAACGACATGCCCGCGTCCCCAATGGGCGGCGGTGGCGGAGCCGGCGTTGGAGCAAACCACCCGCTGGTCCTGCGGATCAAGAACTACCAGAGGCAGGGCGAGGAGCGGAGGGGGGCGGGTCCTCCGTTGGTCGCCCTCAATGCTGCCTTCCGTCGCCCCTCTCGCCCGCTTGCCCGCTCTTGTGGCTGCCCGTGCTTCTGCTGCGGCCCCTCGTTCTCCCGACCCCCCCCCCCCCTCCCTTGCTTCTCTGCGTCCTCCCGATCGTGCTCCTGACCATGCTCCTCGCCCCACTCCTCGTCTTGCTCTTCCCTGCATCTGTTGGCTTGCCTGCTCTTGTTGATGCCCGTGCCCCTGCTGTCGTCCCTCCCTCTCCTGACGCCCCCCCCCCCTGCTTCTCCGCGTCCTCCCGATCGTCCTCCTGACCATCCTCCTCGCCCCACTCCTCGTCTTGCTCCTTTCCTGCATCTGTTTGAGTGGGGCAATTGGGCACTGGCCTTGACCTGTCCAATTCTGCAACGGGTTGCGTCGCTCACGCTGCCACGCTGGCAAGCTTCAGCTGGAAAGATCTAGCTTAACAGTGTTCGGTTGAATCGGGCTTAATCTGGTTCAGTGGCCCCTGAATCGGGTTCATTGATCCCCCCAGTTGTTCACACGAAGACCTCCCAGGAGTTTCCTTTGAAATTAATCCTCATGCTCCTCCCTCCCTCGACTTGTCTAGCCGATGATCCTGAGAGAGGCCAGGGCTTGGGACGCGTCGACCACCGCCGCCCTCTCTCTTGTCGTTGGCCCTCACGCGGTTGGGGGAGCGGGTGTCGAGACTCGCCCAGAGTCCAGCAGGGCACGACGGTGCAGACCCGATTTGTCTGGCTGATGGTCTGGGGAGGCATGTGCTCAGTGGAGGCTGCAGCACCGCTCAACGATGTTCTGTTTGATCGAACTTGCAGGGTGGACCCCTTCTCTCTGTTAGGTTCCAGCGGGGCCTCTACAGGCCCCCATGCCGACGCGCCTTGCGCCTCCCTCCCTCTTTTTCACCGTGCCCCCCCCCCCCGCACTGCCCTCGCCTCTCCGCACCCCCCCCCTCACCAAGCACTCCGCCGCGCTTGCCCCCAGAGAGCCACTGCCGGAGTGCTCTTGGCGGGCCGGCCTGCTCCTCCGGCGTGGCTCGAGGGTTCGTTGGCACGATTTTCCGGGGCTTCGAAGATGGGGGCCCTGAGGGATCGGTTCCGGGGGCCCCCAAACGGGGTGGTGACCACACCGTGTGGTGAGTCGCAGGGGATTCGGGGTCACCGCACGGTCTTGGGACTCGAGTCCCTCTCCGAGGATGTCTCTGGCGACTGGGGCCTCCAGGGTCCCAAAACCGTGCGTTGACGGACCGTGCGGTGAGGTCTTGGGGGATTTCGAGGTCACCGCACGGTCTGTCACCGCACCGATTCGGGATTGCAAACTGTTTCCAGGTTGAATTTGCAATTTTGGGGTGTTCCGCGTATCCCCACCAGTCCACCCAGAAACGTTGCCCAGGCTAGGGAAGTGTGGGAGCGCGTGCTCCCGCTCCATGACCCCCCTCATTCTGTGCCCCGTCCGCCCGACCGCCGCAGCATCTGAGCCCGCGCCGCGTCGGCTCAAGCAGCTCCCCCCATGTGCATTCTTTCAGCTCTTGCAGCTATCGGCTGCACTTCCCCACACTGCACCGAAAAGAAGAACAACAATGGGCCCCTTGTCAGATGGCCGTCTCCGTTCGAGCCCTGCAAGAGTGGCCCCAGTACGGAAGGTACATCCAAGCCCTTTCGTGCCCGTGAGTGCTCCTGGATGCGCTGGGCGCACTTCCGCACAGAGTGGTGTTGGTGGTGCGAGGTCTGCCAGAAACACTGCGGCGGCAAGACGCATCTCATGAGTATCGAACATTACCAGGAGGCCGCCAAGCAGAAGGAGCACGGGTGGCCCGACCCCAGGTGCTACACTGAGGCGGGCAACCTCTGGGCCAGGACCCAAGGAGGGACCAGAGACTGCATCACCAACATCATAATAGAGAGGTGCGAGTGGCCTGGGTGGGTACTCCCCTGTCCGGACGTGGAAGACGGCCATCGGCACCCACCAGGCTGGACATTCCCAGAGGATTGGGACCACGTACCGGTCGACTTTCCTTATCGGGACGACGAGTTCAGCTTCAGAACCCCGACCGACACGATCCCGTCCGCCAACTTGCGGCCAGCAGACTTGTACCGACGTGGCGGGAAGGTCAACCCATGGCTCAGCATAAGGACGGCGGGAGGCAGCGTCCCGCCTCCCCCTCGCAACATCGCAGAGGGGCCTCCTCCCCCCAACCTGTGCGACAGGCTGGTCGGATCCAGCAGGGCGTCGTCGCAAGACCCCACCGAGCGGGGCGGGTCGCGAAATGGGGGGGGACCTGGTGAGACCAGCAACCGCCACCCACTCCCCTCGCTGACACCCCCAGACCCCCCAGCTGACACCGCGGCCAAGGCCATCGTCCAGATGTTTTGCGTGCCAGCGGAACGCCCTGGAGCCCAGTTCCATCTGCATGCCCCCCTGGGGAAAATCTTAGAAGGAGCTAGCCTGCCAAAGTACTGGGAGCAGGACCTACGACAGAGGGGGATCGTTCTGACCAGACTGGCGTGGACGGAGACCATGGCCCCCACAGAGACAACATGGGACGGATCAGTAAAGACCAGAACAGATCTGGTACGCAAGGGGAGCTGCGCCGTGGAAGTGGTGGTAACCCCATACACGAGCATTCGGACTGTCACATACTTGACAAGTTCAAGCTTCGCCAGGCGTTCCCCCCCCAGGACGGGAAGACATTCCTACACCTGCAGTGGCCTAGCGAATTCCGGCTGTTGCTCAAGGGAATGGACGGCGCACAGGACTCACAATCTCGGACGTTGCTCCTCAGCCTCACCAGTCCCACAGAAAACCAGGTCGCCTCCCTCAGGCTGGTGTGGCCCCCGGAATTTGGTGGCCACATCCCCAGCAGCGAGTGCGTCGCAATGGATCTCAGGGAAGGCACAAGGTATCCCACCAACCAGGCTCTGGCATGGTGCGACTCCAGGGAGGCAGAGGAACTACTGGCTTTCGGCAAGGAAACAAGTTCTGGCAGCAAGGAACAAGTCCTGTTCCGACTGGACAGAGCGCCATCGAGGCTGCAGTATTGGAGGATCTATCAGGCCATCTCCGACTCCGACATCCACAAGCTGCAACAGGCACCGGACGAACTGGTGGGCTCTCCACTGGACGTGATAACGTTCTGCCTCAATATAAGGACCCCCCAACGGAGTGACAGGCTAAGGGCCAATTAAGTGGAGAATACGAGGGATTGCGGAGCTTCCCTCCCGGCAAGGGCAAGGGCCACCATAGAGAGCCGAGGGCAGAGCCTACCGGGAGTAATCGCGGCAGAAGAGACCACACAGCAGCAGCACAGCCAAGCGCAAGCGGTCACACCGTTCACGGACGATGAGGTTGATGGATCAATCGGGCAGGTCCTCCAGCGAGTGCGGAACCTCCCCTTCCATCCACAGCCTCAACGAGGCCGCCAGACGACACCGTCTAAATGGCAACGCGGCCAAGGCACTGACTTCCACCATCCTACACCACGCGACGATTGTGCATGGACCCCCAGGGACTGGCAAGATTCTGTTTACAGTGGCCACCATGGACGCATGGGCTAGTTCACTTCCCGCGAGGCAGTCGGTAGCCCTCGCAGCTGGATCGAGCGCAGCAGCCGACCAGCCCGCCATTGGGCTCGGAGTTGCGCAGAAGGAGAACAGGCTTGCTGGTGAGATTGGGTTTCCCAACAGGTGCGTCAGGCTCGCGAAGGACGCCAGAGTGGCGCCGGAAATTGCATCCTTGACCCCAGTGGGGCACTTTCAGAGGACCCATGGTCGCCCGCCCAAACAGAATGGACCATCCAAGGAGCTCCAGTCCTTCGGCTCCCAGCTACTAAGCGACGCCAAGCTGGTTATCGCTACCCGCGAGGCGGCCGAGTCGCTCAAACTAGCATCAACAGCGTTACTCATCATCGACGAGGCGGGACAGGCCTACGAACTCACGGCGGTCATGTCCTTCGTCAATGTCACGCGGTCAGGTGGGCACCTAGCCCTGGTTGGTGACCCCAGGCAGCGCCCCCCTACGGTTCTGTCCGGGAAGGCGGCTGACAGGGGACTTTGCGTCTCCATATTCGACAAGCTGCACGGCGCACTAGGCGGGGAGAGCCCAGCTGTGGTACAGCTGAACTTGTGCTACCGCATGCATCCTCTCCTCCTCTCTTGGCCAGGCGTGGCCTTCCACAACAAGGCTATTCGGACTGGGCTCACCAAACCCCTGGCGCAAAGGCCGATCGTGGAAGGAATGCCGTGGCGGCAGGTACGACCCTGGGGCGAAAGGAGGCTCCAGACGCTAGCAGCGTCGGCCAACACTACCACGGACGACATGGAGACGTCACTGCGGGACCTTCAACCCCCACCGCAGCACTCTGAAGAAAGACGCCGGTTTCTCCTGGTCGACAACCCCTCAGTTGAGGTCACCTCCAATCTTCATTCCAGCTACGCGAACATCCCAGAGGCCGCGCAGACGGTGAGCGTGGTGAGGGCCCTCATGCCTGCCATGGAAAGGGACCGCTGTCCTGGTCGTGGTAGGGCACCAGCTTCAGTGCGCGGTGCTCGAGAAGGGCTGGCCCCAGTCGGGTCGCAGCATCATCGGCCCCCTCGGACAGGCTAGGAACAGGGACAAAGGTGACGGCAAGGGCGAGTTTAAAGGGCCATGCGACCCCCGGGGCCAGCGAGGACACGAATTGAACAGGTCTTTGAGCAATGGAGCTCCCAATCCAATGGGATCGGGCTACAATTCCCAGGGATATGCCAGGTAGCTGGGAAACACCTGGCCAGCGGCAGGCTCAACATCTCCACCATCGACTCCAGCCAGGGCGGTGAGGCCGACATCGTGGTCTACCTGACTACGCGATCCAACTACTTCCACGACTGAGGTTTCATGGACAATCCCAATAGAGTCAATGTTGCTATCACGCGTGCCAGGTCACGCGTTATCATCATCGGGAATTGAAGAATGTTCACCACGGCCACTGGATCGCACCT